GTCTTCGGGGCAGTCTATTTTTTACTCAGACAACTGACTATTGTTTCTGTTTTACATGCGAGGGAAATCTTTAATTCGCTTACATATCTTGCTGAGTATTTTCACGCAAGGCTAGCTCGTGAGTGTTTCTCACTAATAACTAAGTGTACTAACACAATATCCAGTATCTATCAGTACGCGTGTCATGTGTAGAAAATTTCAGACAAATTGCAAAGAAACTGTTCGTCTAAGCAATCACTACTAAAACTGCAATGTTCAAATTCTGTCATAGTATGTGTAACCAGGCCTTTTGACGTAATTCTGTGGATCTTGTCTTTTTGTAGCTGCATTCAACTCGCACTTCCTTGTGGGTAGAACTGAATCATGCTCAAAGTTGAACGAAAGACACTGAGGATCAGCCAGGCACTCTTGAAAGCATTCCATGACGTCACCAAGAAGGTGTTCTGATCGAGAGTGATTACGCAACGAGTAATCTACGTCATCAATCGTGGCTTGATAGATCCCTGTTGAGGGGAAACATAGTTCGAACTAGTTAAGTGTTATGGTGGACAGTCTTTGTGAGTGTATTTTAACCCAGCATGCATCACTTTCTTACACGATATGACTTAGTACTCTTCTTTCTTACCCACACCATTTCTTACCGAGATTGATATACTATGCTGTTTTCATAGAATAAAACATACGCTTTTTTTAGTAAAAAAGGTTCCAAAATCCCTACTAATATACTCCTTGGAATTCTTATATTAGTAAGGGTGTCCCGCTCAGTTCTCCAACTCCTAACACACCTGTATGCAAGCTAGAGCTGCGGCATTGACGGCGACGGCCCACAGGATTTGGGCCGGACATCGAGGCAAACATGCTGGAGGTCTGCCAGTGTTATGAACAGATCAACTTTCGCAGGCTTAGCCGTTTCACTGCCTCAGCAGCAATAAGAGACTGCTGTTAGGCCAAAAAGTCCTGGCCCCATTTCAGACCAAACGAATGTTTTTTTTAACCAGTTTTCTGACCTCATCTTTTATAAGTCTTTAAAAAACCTATGTCAATAAAATCTAGAAAGTTTTTGACAGGACTTGAATTGCTTGGAAATTCAAGTAAGTTAACATTGTTTAAACATTTTTGGCAACATACCCTTTGACGAATGCTCAACCCAATTCAGAGACACGTCAGACAGCCTTCTCAAGCAAAACAAAAAGGTGATATCATCTTCAACAGTAGAGATCCACACTGCATCCTCACTAATACCTGAGATTTTTCCCCACGGACTGTCCTTCTTGTTTGCATAGCTCACAAAAGCCAGTGGTAGCGGGCCAATATCGTTGTTTAAGTAATACGCGTGAGACTTGGGGGCTTGACTTATGCATGTCCATCGATTGTCGGTGACTAATCCATTGCTTAGACTTCCTATTATCCATGGTTTAACTTTTCCGTTGAAGCACCTAACGCCAATGATGTCACTTGAAGGAAGTGCAGTGTAATTTGAGGCGACTTTCGTCGGATCATTTGAGATTTGTGATGCTCCGTTCCGATCCCCAACGAAATTAACATAAACTTTTCCTTTGCAAGCGATACTTGCTTCGAGCTGTTTAGATGTTCGAGCTGAAACATGAAGGGGCAACGACTCGGTTAACGGGCAAATTCATTCCTATGAAAACAATCACTGAAATGTTGTCAGAATACTTTTTGGAACTGAATTGGTTCGAAATGCGCGGCCATCCATTTACCCTTTATGCTAATTTTAAAAAGCTATAATTTCTTGGTTCATCGCAGTCCAATGATTTTGTGAAATCTTCAGTGTTGGGTTTTTGATTTCCCAAATTGTGCCTTACCTGTACAAAATGGAATTATGACCAGAAAAAACAGCGGCAAGACTTTCTTTATTTCTGTTAAAAGGTGAAAACTGATCTCCTCTTTTGATATGCAGATCTCTTAACATCGGTGCGATCTTTATACATGTGAGATCTTTATACATCTTTATACGTGTGAGTTTTTGTTTGGTAGGAAGACAGCAGGTGGCCTGTGAAACATTGATATCCACTTTAATTATTGATGTTTAAACGGTAATTAGCGCTGTAGGAAAACTAAAGCTTAAAAAAAACCTTTTAACGTGTCCCCTGAGGCGGTGCCCACTTGTCGGCGCTTGTTTGTTTCGGAAGCATAAAATGGAACATTTTCAGTAAAAGTCCATTTTTTTTCGGTGTTAGCCAATCTTTCTACTCGTAGAAAATCCCAACGTTTCCAATTTGTGTCGCGCAACAAGAGAACCCGAAACGAATTTGAATTTGAAAAGTTTGCGAAGGATTTATTACTAGTAGAACCTGAATGGTGAATAGTCTCCGACAGGCATTCGGATTTTATTAAGTAGATCACGACTTCAAGGAGCCGACTAAGGAGCTAATGGAAGCTAGCACGGTAGCGCGCATCTCTTACGAGGTGATAGATATTTCCTCATTTCCGAGTTTCAGTTGTTAATACCACTGAAAAGTTTTACTTTTATGTCACTGTGATACAATCTTTGTGAAAATATCTCTGAGTTCGCAGTTTTAATTTTCTTAAGTATAAGCGAAAACAGCTGAGTTTGATTTAATTGGAGCAACATCAGAAACATGTCGGTATTGCGTAAACAAGCCTTCGAGATATGTTAATAGGTACAGGAAGAGAAACAATGTAACGTTGACTTCAATTAAAATCTGGCGCCAAGGCTAAAAAGTAGAATAAAGAAACATTTCTGCTCTCCTGTCCAATTCAGAAAATAGAGAACCATTCGGGTAGGTTGAGGCGGGACTGTGAAAATTCAAGGAGAAAAAATCCGATGACATTTTGATACTAAGTATCTGGTTATCATTTTCATTTTCACATAAATAATGTGAAATACTTGAATGTGAATAAATAAACAGTGTTTTTTCTAAATAACTGCTAGTGTTTAATCACAAGACCAACACGAATTTTTACTACAATGCATTGAACGTGATGTTATTGAGAAAACGAGTGAATGAAGGTTTGGGAGAATACTTCTATCTTAACTTATACCTTTTAAAAGAGGGGGGGAGGTTGATTACAAATAGATGGGTCGATTAGTTGGTGGAGGGGAGGACTCACAAACAGGATAAATTAGACCAGGAATGCGCGGTGAGACACCTTAGCTGATACACAACTTAAATGCTCCGTTTGTTAGAAGTGAACGATTCGCTAATAATCAGCTCAGTGTCTGATGAGCTTCCTGCAAAAACGTTCGCGCAGCGAATTGTATGCATATTGACTTAACCAGACAGGAGCGCGTGAATAAAGCGACAAATTCAAAGATAAATGATAGGTACGTATGAGAACTGCATGAGTCAATGTTCACAACTCCATCTGTGCTTGGACAGGGATCAAGAAAAACAAGACTGACTGATACGTATGATGCACGATCCTCGCAGTAGATAGCGCTATTTAAGCAATAGCGAAAATCAGACCTAAAAAAAAATCAGGCCTGTACGGGACTCGAACCACTGACCTCTGCGATACTAGTGCAGCGCTCTTACCAATTGAGCTAACAAGCCAACTGAGAGCAGGCCGTTAAGTTGATTCGTAATGAACCCGTGAAAGTGATAAATGAGATAGAATAAATATATGAAAATCATATATTTATCAAATATATGATTTTCATATATTTATTCTATCTCAAGACTGATTGATTTAAAAGGTTGCTCAGTCCAATTTCTCTAGTGTGCTTCGTGTAGGTTTGCTTTGTTAGATTTCACTGACAAAAGCGAGAGGCAAGAAATTATAAACAATTTATGATCTCTTGCGGGAGGTCATTTAAATAACTCATGCATTAAACGGTGTTTAAATTAGCAGCAGTTGATCGTACAAAAGGCTGTAGGCGATGGCATTGTTCACGACTGAGTGATGTTGGTCTGATATCATTTCAAACGAACTTAATATGTACTTATTTTACTTCGATTGACTTTAGTACCATATTTGTAAGGCTATTTAATGCCTGTCGGTCATAAACTTTGACCTTGTGTCTCCACTGCTTTACTGAAACACACAGAAAGATAAACATTCTGAACAGCCCCCCACCTGAAAGTAAAATATCATGCAGGTATATGCAAAAATATCTCTAAAGCACGCTATTTACTACTATTTTAAAGGACCCTATAATACTGAGCTACCGCCACGAACGTAACAAAGCATCGCGTAACAATTCAGTTTACTTATTCTTGATTGGTGTTATCGGAGGAAGGAAACGCCCATCCAGCTGGCTGCTAATTGCTGTTCTCTCCTCTGCTCTCATCCAAATAATATCGTAACGGCTTCCTTGACTCTGAAGAGTGGCTCCCAAAGGCAACAGTGCCGCCTCCGTGGTTAGAGCCATGGTGGAGCTTACAGCTGGACAAAGGGACTGGCTGCTCCTTCCTGATATTTTACTTTTGGCGGATGGTGCAGATATTTTTCTTTTTGGTGTTTCGGCCCTTGCGTATTTGTCTGAGGGGAGGGGTGGCAAAGGCTGGGTACCCGTGGGCTTCAAGCTTGGGTGTGTCCCAGGATTGTCTGCTGATTTTGGTAAATGCTTTGAGACAGGCGAAGCAATCTCTCTTCTGTCGCCATTTTCCACAGGAAACTTCGATGAAGATAATATTCTGAAACGATCCTGACTGGAATGAGTGTTTGACTGTGAGTTAGGCTGAGGCGGCAGATGCAATAATCCAATACTCATTGCATATTGTAATTGTGCCCAGTTCATCTCCGCCTTTCTCTTAATGTTTTCCTGGCTCAAGTTGAGGTCTGCAAACTGGTATACTGAAAACATGCACATGAAACGGACAAGATGATCAAGTCATGAAATCAACTGTTTCTTATTGGTATTGTCATCTATTGTTCTTGTTGTAATTGTTATTAGGTGCTGAGGTGAGTTCGCCCAAGGCATTCATTAATTGTTATAGTCATTATAATCAGAAGTGAAATTTGTCGTTAAGTTATTGAGAAACGGATTGTGTGTTTCTTAAAGCAGAGCTCTTGAACAATTTCCCATGTTTTACGTCTGGTTAGCTATAACTGCACAACTTTGTAGAGAAAAATAATTTTCCTTTGCTTCGTGCTACCAGAGCACATGCGTAAATGCTGAAATCTGATTAGTTATGCTACCCACTTTGTAATCCGTGATAGAAAATGAGCCATGAGCATGTTATGTTGTTAGGTTTTGAACGACCAGACGTTAGATTTATACCGAACCGATTTGATTATTCGCTCTCAAATGCTAATTGTCATGGCTGATTCGGGCTTCTCTTTCATCAAATATCACGCGATAGAAATCTTGAGCTCATAATCTACTTGTAATAAGCACATGGTAAATAAACTGTACTAATATCATACCATCATGACCATTAATCTTCGTCGAGCAATCCATTGTCTCTTGCGAAGGGTCGCTCAAAAGAGGACTATGTTGTCGGGGACACCTACCCTCCCCTCCCAAGACAGCAAACACTTGGTCGTCTTCTAACACTCGATTGACAAACGAGCTTATCACCGCTGCTACGTAAGGTTCCCAGGACTGGTTGCCATGACAACGCGGGGTTCCCGTGACACTGAGGATTGAAATCCATTCTTTTCCCAGGCCTTTGATGCATTCTGAAACATCTAGAGCACAAGAAGATAGAGTCAGAGATATGTTACTGACCAGAGAAACATGAGAATATTTTCTCGTAGGAGAAGTTAATTTTTTCCCCAACCGCTTGCAGCCGTTTTTACCACACTAAAATGAAGGCATGTCAATTTAATTCGGACAAGGATATTTTTCAATTTTTCCAATGTTGATCTCTGAGGATTTGGGGGAGTGTGAGCAAATAAGTATAGAGTTCTTTTTCTTTTTCTTCGTTTGCCTTTTCCATAAATATTCAGCTTAAACATGTTACTAAGGTCGGTTCATCATACGTCCAGTTGTCTGAGTTGTTCAAGTTCAGGAAAGTCCAGATATAAATGAATTATAGTCAATAAAAATATTTTCCTTGATTTTTCTGTTCCTATTTTAGAAAGAGTTCCCCAACAAAACGGCCTACACAACGCTGAGCTTTCGAAACACGCGACGGTTTAAGTCTACGCCACAAAATAATTTGCGACAGTTTTAACGCTATTTAAGAAAAGAACAAGAAATCAATAGCATTCATGCACGAATACATGCCTCCAGTAATCTTACTTACCCAAACTTGAAGTCTTGACCGCAACTGCGCTGGCTTTCTCGTTTTTGGCAACATCTCCCATATGCAGAATTTTTCCAACATGGACAGCTTGTTTGCGATATTTTGGAGGAGTCCAGCCATACTTGCCGTTTTCAAACACATTAATCAAACACTCACTGCAGCCATAACTTTCAAGTCTTTCTTGCTTGCCATCCCTTCGTAAAACTGCCTCTGCAATTATTATATCACCGATTTCATGAGGTCTGTTCACAAGAGATTTGGCAAACCCCAAAAACAAACCAGCCCTTGGTCTGAGCTTCTTGATGGTCTGAACAACTGCTCCAGGGCCGCGACATTTGAGCAAGAAGACCTGCCGAGAGCCAATTTTCCCTGTGTAAACGTAGCCAGCATCGCCAATCAGAACAGCTTTGAGCTCTTTCAAGACGTTTGCCATCGCCAGAAATATCTGCTCGTTTTCAGCTATGATCAAGGCGTTGGCAGGGACGCAGACTTGATCAAATTCTACTTTCTCGTAAGAGAGATTCTGCGGCAGTAGGATACCTACTGACGGAGGTCTGCAAGGCAAGCCCGCCATGGTGATATTTCTCTATAATACCTGTTGATAAGAAAAAAACGAAGAATCTTGTCGTCGAAAAAAATTGCGACAAAGATCATGACACGATCAAAAGAAATGAAGGTAGCGATAATGGTCGATAATTACTCTGAATTGAAAGGAATGCTTAAAAAAAGGACGGTGAAATCATATTTCGACTACTATCCTTCAGTTTCAGCACTTCACCCTACCAGTCGCTTCCTTGATTCTTTTTGATTATGTAGTTGATTATTTTTTTTGCTCGCTTTCGCCTCAAGTGTTTTCACCAGGTTGAGATTAATTTGAGTGATTTCAAACTGTTCTCACAAAGTTTGCGCAGCAATACAACCAATATCACAATGATTTCCGGATCAAACAAAAATAGTAAATCGAAAAGACGTGCATGGAAAAGTCGATTATCATCGCCAAGAAGATAAACAAAAGAACAGTTCCCAATTCCGACCTTGTTCTAAATATATCTAAAGCCCTGGTTAAACGGCGCATGATAGTCGATGATAGTTGAAGCGCGCGCTTTCGTTTGACCACCTACTATCATGCACTATCATCGACGATCACCAACTATCATTCATTTTGAGCTTGTTCAAATTCTTCATGATAGTCGATGATAGTTTTTCTCATTTGACCACGCGTATGATAGTTCATGATAGTTTTTGGTTAGCTGTTTTCCTCGAAAATCGGCGGACTCGTTTAAAATGGTCGCCAAAAGTTCCTCGCGAGGCTCAGCTTTAGCTTCAAAAATTCGTTTTTATACGTAAGATGATAATAATAATGAGAAAGAAAATATTGAAAACCAAGAATCTGGAGAAAGCGTCAACTCGCAGGAATTCGAAGAGACACCGCCGAAAAAACACCGTTTCACTAAACGTTCAACGGCGAGATGGAGTAATGACCTGATATTACGTCTAATAGACGTACATTCCTCAAAAAAATCGATTACTATTAACTGAAGCAAGCTGCCGCCCTCTTTCGTTGTAAATTCATACCTCAACAAGTTTGTTTGTCTCACGCGAAGCCATGTTAGTGTTCACATTTTACGCGGAAAGAGCCTGGAACTAGCTGCTCGCGTGACTTTGCTCGCGCGACTGCCGGTGAACTATCATCAACTATCACGAACTTTTTTGGCCGTTTGACCATGCGAATGATAGTTGGTGATAGTTGATGATAGTTTGAAGAGAATCAACTATCATCGACTATCATGCGCCGTTTGACCAAGGCTTTATTGCAAGGGAAATTAAGAGAGTGAAAGGCGCTCGATCTCTCAAATAAACTTTAAAACCAATATTCACGCAGTTCCTGCACACATCCAGTTCGTAAAGAACTTAAAACATCTGCATGGTCAGCAGGACTCAAAAATAAAATTTAATATGTTGCCACAATAATAACAAAGATTGAATCAGTTGTGATACAACATAGCAACAAGTTCTGACATGAAACCTTAAAATAGAAACGCTTCTTTCAATGCAAATGAACTGCATTCCTGAGATCTTTGGTGAAATAAAAACCCCACTCGTGTTTTTTGTCAAAATTCTACTCCGCACGACTTGTTCAACTTTATCCATTTGAAATAAAACCGCTGTCAACCGTTTAGGAAATCTGTTTAAGATGACCGCATCAGACAAACCACGTAATCCCATCAGCACACTTACGATCTACGTGGTTTTACTCTTTGGAGGTAGTTCTTTTATCAAAATTAAAAGCAAACAGTCGAAGAAAGGTTCATATTAGAATTTATGGCCGAGTTTCATTCGACCTTGGTTAATCTGTTGAATGGTGGCTCAACGAGAAGCCTGAAAAAATATCATTTCCGGACAAAGCAAACTGAGAAAACTGTAAAGCAATGCGTGGAAAGTTGATTATCCGTGAAATCTTCGCCATGATTCATGCAAAACAAACACTCAATTCTTTTAAGAGTCGCCTGTGGTCAGGTATTTGGCAAACCCAGTTCCTTATAGTAATCATAACTAATCAAATGAAATCTTATTTCACCTGAGTTCTGTCAAAAACTCTTGAGGACGAGGTCGAATTTTCTGGTCACATAATAATCACTCCACCACACAAGGCCGAGTGAAAAAAAAGACACCAGCCTTACCTGTTATTAAAAAACACACCAGCCTTACCTGTTATTAAAAAACACACCAGCCTTACCTGTTATTAAATGTTTTGCTAATAAATCATAGGTTATTATCATACCAACTGGCCTTTTGTGGTTAGCCCGTTTAGGACAGTTATTGTACGAATGAAAGCCTTAAAACAAAAGAAGTGTCTTTCCCTTTTAAAGTGCATATAATTTTGTCAAAGTTTAAACCGCATGATTGACAGGGCGCAGAAAATTGTTTTCCTCACAACGAAGGACTAACTTTTGAACATAATTGACATTCATATATATATTTGTTGAAAGAGCCTTAGTCACAGATTAAGTTGAAATTCAATTCGAGTAATTATAACTGCTAGCAGTAGTGTTGAAATTTATAAATTCCATATCATGAAATCGTGGATCGTTGCGCGCCTTCCTGGAAACCGGAAAAGCCGGCCAAACAACTCAGATGGCTAAGATTACCATTCGCAGAAGTGTTTCGATATTTTGTTTTGCAACGAGGTTGAAAATAAAATAAACCAATCTCTCTCTTTCTGCTTTAATCCAAAGTCTTTTCTTAGCAGTGTAATTCATCTTGCGCGAGCTGATGAAGTAATTGATTTGTATCAAGTACACTATAAGTACTTCCTATTTTGTACACAAAAATTTGCCTAATTCCATATTTATTTTGTTGACTTATTCAAAGAGTCATCGTCAAATAATATCAAACTAATAAGGGTGAGGCTGTAAATAGAAAGCAACCGTGTTTCCGGAAGATTAAGGTGAGTAAAGGAGGTCAATTGTTACCAAGACACAACCCAAACAATCTCCCAAATCCTATGGAGACCAAACAAAACAGAATCAAGGCTCATTCATTCGAATGGTGATACAAATCTCCGTCATTTTTTTTTTCATTACACATGGCGCCACTTGCTCATTGTTTTTTATTTATTCTTTGACACATTTTCTCCACCCTGCTGGTTACTGTCACTTCTTATGCCGTTGAGCTAATAATAAACCTTACGAAAGGTCTAGTTTTCCTTACTCGTCATTTGCTGATGAAAAAAATTCCTGCCAAAACTTTAGGATATCTGCATTTCATATACACGTACCCACAAACTTTCTAAGCAAAAAGGCAAAATAACCCCCTTTATTAACATAACATAACATAACATTTATTCAGGAAATTACAACGCAAATACGAAAAATACATCCTGAAAAGGGAAAATCGTGAGGTTAACCCTGCATAAAAATAATTTCCCTAACTAAAAACATACAAAAAATAAAATCTAATGGCTACAGATTCATTAAATATTCAATAAATATTCAAACAAATTTTAAGTCTACTCTTAAAAACTGACAATGATTCGGCGTGTACAATGTATCCTGGCAAGCTGTTCCATTTCATTGTGTTTTGTAGAGGACAAATAACTCGCGAGACGAGTACCCCAAAAATATCCGCGAAATTCGCCCACACCGAAATAACAATTTGGCGTGTTTGATAATAAATCTCTCATTAGACGTTTTGTTGTGTAGTATTGCTGATTATTATCCAGCTACACCTAGACGAGTACGAACAACGCCATAGACGAGTACAAATATCACGCGGTATTTGTACTCGTCTATTGTAGTACCGGTTAAACTGGTTTTTTCGAATCGCGCAAGCGAAGAATTGGATTGTAGTTACGGAAACAAAAAAGTGGCGGACAATTTCAATCATATTTCCGACGACGAAGAGTCAGAATGGCTAGCAAATATAGATCCAAGTTCATTTGATGAATCGAACGAAGAAAAACAGCTTGACGACCAGAAAATTTCTTCATTTAATGAAGAAAATAGAAACAGCAACACAACAACGCGCCAATTCCGTTNGTATTTTTACTCGTTATTTGTATTTTGACTCGCCCTACGGGCTCGTAAAAATACACAGCGCTACTACAAAACAAAACGTCTAATAAGATATATGTATTTCTACTCGTTGTTTGTATTTTGACGAGTCCTTCGGCAAAATACGGCACAACTCGTAAAAATACTCAGCCATACTACACAATAAGATATATGTATTACACGTTACATGTTTAACTATCAGACAATTTATCTTCGCAAGCGCTGGTCAAGATGAATTCAGACTCAATAAATTGACCAACGTAGAGAGTTTGTGAAGCAAAAAATGGACTGACGCTCCAAACCTCAGTTTTAGAAAACCCCCCCTCCCCCACCGGAGCTTTATAAACTTACCCCTTTGCTCATACTTATTAATTCGCTAGTCTAGAATGGGTGCGCTAATCACTTTAGGTGACAAATATGAAAAAGGGAAAAACCAAACACAAAGAAAAAATTGAACATTAAATAAGACTTGTCCGACTGTTCATCGGAAAAACCAACAAACGAGCGCCAAAACCAAGTCTTTCAATTTCATTGATTTTAAACTACTGTTAACTCTTCTCTTTTACTTTTTGATTAGGTAAAAATATTAACTGCCACTACTTAAAAGTCTGGTATCATTTTGCTGTTCTGAATACTGTTATTATATTTTTAACAACAATATTAACGCTGCCTTAATTGTATGCTTCAGCGCGCACAGTAATCTATCATGCGAGATAACACGCTGCGTAAACCTTTCATAATAACCATTCGCAGACATCATATACTGTATGGTATAATTTTTTTCACTTTTGATACTGTTCCTTCTCTTCATTTTATGACGCCTTGTTTTATCAGAGTTCCTTCGACAGCTGATCATTTTGAGGACGAGTCTTTGTTCGTGATGGTATACACCTTCACAGGATATTCCATAGTTTCCTCTAAAGTTCGTTTGACTGTTTGAAAGAACCACAGAACGTTACCACTAGTGAAAGCGTGCTAAATACGCACCTGTATATACGGGACTGTCCTGCATGAATTCGAGAATAAAGTCCAATATTGTCAGAGGGGACGGACGCCGGGAAAACCAGAGGGGGCGAGAAAAACAGACAAGAGGTCTTGTCCAATACCAAGAAAAAAAGTCTTAGAACACAACAACATCCGCCACCATCTTCGTTTGTAACTTAAATCTTCGGAATCTAAGTAGATTTACAACACTGAAAGATTTTGTGCAAAGAAGGAAACGATCAAAACATATTCCCGACCGTTATTGAGTTCAAACAATGACATTACAAGTCTCTTGAAAAATCCCAAAAGTTACTCTGGATCAATCATAAAAAATGTTGTACGTCAAGTAAGCTTCAAGGGCTACAGGTGTTCTCTGTTCAGTCTCTCCTGGATTGCATAAGGGCGGACTCTTACCATACTCTCAATTCAGCTTACATCTATATTTCTACAAAGACCTTACACATTTCAGAGTCCACTCTGTACGGCAAGTAAGTTCCAATGTTTAAACTGTTACCCGGCCGGCCGTCAGTGTGGACTGTCTTGGAGATTAAAGCCGAGAGCCTTTTAAGACAGATAGCAAGAGCGTCAAAACTTATCATCGATGAAGATTCTTGTCTTCGAGATACACCCTTCCACTGCAGATAAAAAAAAAACATTAAACATCCGTGACACACAATTATAAAAAGTAGCTGGAGAGAAAAGCGTTCGTTGTTGCCGTTCATCGTATTAAAAATTGAACAAATAGAAAAAAAATATATCTTCATCAGTTTTGCAGTCAACGGTTTGAACCCGCGGGTAACATGTGAAGGTGTAGTCTGATCGTCCGGGTGAGTGTACTCCTGAGAAGGACTGTTGTCCGTGGTAGTGACTGACGTTTCGACAACCTGTGCGGAAGTCATCATCAGAGTCAAGGGGATAATTGATAAACTTCATCAGTTTATCAATTAAAGTGACTTCACGTCCAAAATTCTCCAATTTTCCCATCTGGAAACTCGATTTTTCTCTTATATTAAAAATTACGCATGATGCACGATCCTCGCAGTAGAGAGCGCTATTTATGCAATAGCGAAAACCAGACCCGAAAAAAATCAGGCTCTCTACTGCGAGGATCGTGCATCATACGTATCTACTACCGCAGTTCAAAATATATGAACTTCATATATTCATTGTATCTGATTTATCATCACGAGTTTATTACGAATCAACGTAACGGCCTGCTCCCAGTTGGCTTGTTAGCTCAATTGGTAGAGCGCTGCACTAGTATCGCAGAGGTCAGTGGTTCGAATCCCGTACAGGCCTGATTTTTTTCAGGTTTGATTTTCGCCATTGCATAAAGAGCGTTCTCTACTGCAAGGATCGTGCATCATACGTATCTACTACCGCAGTTCAAAATATATGAACTTCATATATTCATTGTATCTCATATTAAAAATTGTTTATTTTATCTTTGCAATTATCAGCCTGTTGTAAGCAAAGTTCTTTTTGCTCTAAAATCAGAAATTCCAATTTCATCTGACAAAATATATTCTACGTGTTGGCTAGTGCTTGGTTTTTGTTCTTGGTCTTATTTCAGTTCTGAAAATTCTTTTATTATGCAACTGAAATTATTACTTATAAGAGATGAGGGTATCTGAAAAAAGCCAAAAAAGTTTATTTTCACTTTGCAGTGAGAGTCACTGGGCTAAAAAAACAGACCGTCTATACCTTCTGACAGCATACATCAAGCAATCAAATTGAGAAGCTATGATCTGGTGATTTCAAAAGAAATAGCCACGTACCTTATGTACTACATATAAATTGACAATTGTTTTTTCAGACGATGCACTAGAGGTCCAAGAAAAATGCCCCATTTTCCGTCTTTCATTGTAAGGTGTCTTTCTGTCAACTTGTCTAGCTTCTGGAAAGTTTTTTAATAGTTGACGAGCCACAGCTAAAATAAAAGTGAAAGTCAGAAAATAATAATAACAAAAAGAAAACAAACAAATGACTACCAGCTGCAATGAGTTTTGATCAAAGCTCACATAGAATTAAGATTGCTAGCATACAATTTAGAGCAGTGTCAATGCAAGTTATATTAAAAAATATTGAAACACATTTTTGGAAACAAAAAATTACATACAATCAGGTGGGATGCTATGCAGACAGTCACAAAAACACAGGATCACATCACACTCGAGGAGACTGTCAATACTTTCATTGGCTGAAAATAAATTATAATAAATGTCAGCATAAATAGTTGTGTTACTATCTAAAGTTAGAAAGGCTGACATGACACACAGAACAAATTATGGAATCTTCAACATAAGATTTCAGGATACTAAAGTCTGGAATGATATAAGTGAAGACATAAAGCTTCTTCCTCTGAAACGTTTTAAGAAAAACCTCAAGCTAATTCTTCTTGATAATAATTTTTCTGGCCTTCCACTTGTTTTTTACTCTGATATTCCTTGCCTCCTTGACCTTGTTTTGTATGATGAACGTGTGTGTGTGTCAGTGTGTGTGTGTTGTGTGTGTGTTGTATCTGACCCAAATAATTACAGTACATAAATCCCCAAGTATAGCTGCCCTTTTTTTCTAGCCCTATAGTTATTTGTGGCAGCTAGTACTCCTTTATATTCTTGTCAATTTATCATATTTTTATCATTATTTTTTATGTTGGGTACAAATAAAGTTGTTGTTGTTGTTGACACACAGGCTTATGCAGATGTTACAGATAATTGGAATTAATAGATTTGTTGAATTAGTATATCGACCTTGCCCCATTACAGTGAAGGTGGGTCACTTCAGACATAGGATACATTGAAAGAGACCAAGAAGCTGTAAGCATTACCTATCAAATCATTCCCATTTGCATGTATATTTTCATTACTCATTACTTAAAAAAAATCCCAAGAGCATAATTTTTGTGAGTCACCAAGGCCCATCAATACATTATTACCTTGTTTTCTATCTCGTTTATCTTTAAAATATGATGACACCCTTTCTGATGGCAGCTCTATATTCTCCATGAATGGTTTAAGTGGTTCATATAACTCCTCGCTATTCCAAAAATGTCTCTTTTCTTCCTCTTTTCTTTCCGCTAACTTCGAACCCTGTTGCCTTCTTTTTTCCAGCTCAGCTTCCAGCTTTTCCATGCTTTCCCATTTCGAAATAGCGACCGACTCTACTTCTGACAGTTTAAATATTTTCATGGGAGCTGGAAAATAAGGTCGAAAACATGAAATACAGAATATTTACAACTGCGCGCTCTTTCCAGCCATATGTTCCAGCACAAACCTGCTCAGGCACAAAAATAACTACATGTTTACCATAACTTTTGTTGACGGGGTTATCCTTCAATTTAAACTCTAATCCTTCCAAATCTTTATCTTCAAGCAGGTATTTCCTTTTCGCTAGCCCTTTAGAAACTACTTTTTCGCGTGCAGTGTCGTTCGAATCATCCGCCGTTTCCGCCATGATGTAAAACACAGAGTGGGACTGGCGCTATTCGATACCAGTCCTCCCGAGTGTCTTGCCTTGATGTTTTCATACACGTGCGTATGAGGGAAAGTTATTTCGACCTGCAGGGCGAGGGAAACGATTTCATTTTGACCCTAGAGACAACTTTAACTCATTAATTTGAAGATGGGAAAAGGAAAAAGAGTACGTATATTGTTTCATTCCGTAATTTTCTTCAAAATATGAGTCAAGGATTCTGTAAAATATTCTCCCATCCATGCGTTGTTCAGAATTGTTTTTGTGTTTTATAATAGTTAGCGTTTCTTCTCCTTTTCACTCTTTAGAAGAAGAAAAAGACCCATCAAGATCCAACAGAAGCAGAAATCAACAAAATACCTCACAGTTTTGTCATGCACAGGGGGAATGTGGGGAAATATGTGCTTCAACTTGAGATGGACTTAAGACATGTAATGGAACCGTACACTGCTAGTAATTTAAAGGTAAAGCAGTACATGTATAGGTTTTGTCACAGTAAGCGTGCCCACGACCTTTATAACACTTCATGCAAGGGCTATGTGCAGTAATTGCTTGTACAGAATGGAATCCTATTGTAAAGGAATTTTTCAGTGAACTGATGTTACCCACACTGTGTAGCACCTTTGCTTGTAACACTTCTTTGACTGATTATGTCTTCATCAAATTGAAAATTTTAGGTAAATAAGAAAAATGTTGTGAAGGACTTTGTTCATGTTGCTGGACCTCTGGGTGTGACACACTTAATGATGCTGTCAAAAACTGAAATTGGAACCTATTTGGTGAGTAAAGATCAAATGGAACTGAAAAAATTAAGCATTTATACATTCCAGCTCTCTGTGTCTTTCTATCAATAGCATGTTACACTCTTGAAATGCAAACCAGATAATTATGAGGATTTCTGTCCAGTTGTAGAGGATTAATTTGTTTCCTTGGTTATATATAGAGGTTTTGCCGCATACCTAGAGGACCAACACTGACATTCAAAATTCAAGAGGTAAAATACAGTCTTAACATTGCAGTTCATCCCTTTTTGTTCATGCACAGTTGTGCAAACCAGATTCTTTGTCGATTATTTTGCAGTGTTCCATTTAAAAGGATTACTATTCAAGGTCAAATTATGTTGTTATATCTGGGAGAAACTAACCCTTTTCTACTTTTACTGCAGTACTCACTTGTGAGAGATGTGATATCTCTACTTAAGAAACCCAAGACATTTGGAAGTCAATTCAAAAAGCCACCTTTGGTAGGATATAGTCATTTGTCTCAATCCAAACATTAGGTTATATCATGGGAAGAGTACAGGAAATAAAACAATTGACAATGGAATTTACAAGATCGAGAGTAAAGGAGGGACTTGTATCTAAGTGGGCAGAAACAAATCAGAATTTAAAGGAAAAGGTTTTGAATGAAGCTACATAATTTGTATCGCAAAGTTGATGGAAACAAATGTTTGCTAGGTTTTTCAAAACATCACAAAGAATCAAGTTCATCTTAATATGTGTTAAATGTTAAAGGGGGGGGGCTTTTTCTAGAGGAAGGGAGATGGCTTCACCTAATCGGATGAACATTTATTCTGTTTTAAGGGGCAGATTGGGGTATAACCATGTGGGTTGATAAAATATATAATGGGGTTTGAGAGTGGAGGGGTGGCCTACAAGTGGCAGTTAATTGGGTTCATTCCATTTTCCTTAAGTTTATAATTATAATAATCTAATTTTTATTGAGTGCCTTCTACATGTGAATATGATCTGATACACCAATCCTTTTTTCTTAAGTTGGTGTTGAATGGATTCTCCACGGATAGCCTATCAATGAAGCTTATGACAACAATGTTTCAGAATTTATTTCCTTCAATCAACATCCAGAAGGTAATTTGAGTTCCTTTAAAATAAGTACGTGTGTTAAAATTTGTAAATTATGAAATGAGATTTATCCAAAATGTAAGGATGACATAGCCTGTGTTTGATATAAGTGAACACTTTGCAGCATTCCTTAGCAAAATGTGGGAGTCAACCATTTAAGATTTGTTAGAGAATGTGCTTAACAGAATGGATATGATCAATTTACCCTGAAGCTGTCTAACAAACTGAATTCTATTTGACATTATAAAAACTAAATATAGTATACTAAGTCAGTCTTGTGAGAGTTTACATTGATCTCTTTCATTATGTAAAACCTTATTTTGTTGCAATAAATGTGTATGACTGCTGGCCACTCATAAAAAGCTTTCAAAAGTGGCAAAAGAAAGGAAGAGGAGGGGTAGAAAAATACTCAAAATGCTTTTGTTGCAATTAAATTCTATCACATGGCACATTTACCAGAAATGGTATGTAGCTTTCTCTGGATATTTATTAAACTGAATTATTATTCTTTTAGATGACAGCAGATTTGTACTCTGGTCAAACTTTGATGAAGTATGTTAATTTGCTTTCATTGACTCTTGTTGAACTCATTTCATCACTACAGGTTCACCTCTCTGAGATAAGACGATGTGTTTTGTTGAATTACAACTCAGACACTAAAGTTATTGACTTCAGGCATTAGTAAGTGTAGAGTTGCTCTTTACAACCTGTGATTGTCTTATTTAGTCTGCTGCAGTACAACCTGTGATTGTCTTATTTAGTCTGCTGCAGTACAACCTGTGATTGTCTTATTTAGTCTGCTGCAGTACAACCTGTGATTGTCTTATTTAGTCTGCTGCAGTACAACCTGTGATTGTCTTATTTAGTCTGCTGCAGTACAACCTGTGATTGTCTTATTTAGTCTGCTGCAGTACAACCTGTGATTGTCTTATTTAGTCTGCTGCAGTACAACCTGTGATTGTCTTATTTAGTCTTGAATTTGGTCATCCTCCTTCCTGTCTGTCATACAATTCGTATGATGTTAGTTCAGAGAATTTAGTACTGGATCCACTAATATTCCCCTAAGTGATATTTTTGTTTATTCTCATCACTTGTCTGCTTGATATTGCATTGATGTTTTAAGGAGAAGTTCTGTCTTGGTCACTTATGGGAGTTCAAGGATTAAAGTTGCCTTGAATTAATTTGAAAACAGTTAAGCAAATTTTGGAAAACTTTTAGTTGTGTGCTCACGGTTTTGTTTCCAACTGAGTGTATCACGGACAGTTCACAGAGTGACACAGTTAGGACCTCAGAAAACACTGGACACTAGAAACGATAAAGGAATGTTTTTGTGGTCCAAAGAAAAAGCTAATTAGGAATCGGCAGTGAGGGTAGTTTTTGGTTTTGATGTTTGCTTGCATTGTGCTAAACTTGGTTGTAATTGATCAACACATAATTACTTACCTGTCAGATTCAAATCAAAGTGTTTACAGTTTTCTGAGTTTCATGCTAAGTAAACATACTCTGGCAATGCCTTCCCTTAATTTTGAAATTTAATGGCATTGCCAAACAAAGAATTCTAATGGATTCAATTGAAGTCTTGTCAACATTCAACTTGACTGTTTTTGCTAGTAGTAATATTCAAGCTGCTCCTATTGGAATAAGCCGTGGAGTGAAAAAACTGATTCAAACAAAACTTCCTAATATGGCACAACTGAGTGATATCAGTGATTATGTCCTCAGGTATATCTGTGTTACATAGTGCTTTATATTTGTTTGTTGTTATTTTCTGGCAGAGATAAAAATTTGAGGGAATGTTGGGTTATTGTGGAGTTGTGGAGTAAAGCATAATGTTTCCAAAAGATAAATGAGACTGCCAAAAGTATTAAATTAAATGTCAAAAATATTTTGAAGTAAACCATATTTGGACTTGTGAATGAAATGACAAGTGAGCCATTGATCTTGAAAGGTTAGTTGCAGTTCAAGTTGTTACTAACAGCTACTGTTAGTACGAGAGGTTTGAAAACATTCAGGAATATTTCGCTCTTCATTTTCTGCAAGGACTTAAATTACAATGAGCCTGAGCAGATCAATTTGAAACACGTGGTACGTTTAACTGAACCTGAAATGTACTTTAAACTATGAGAGAAATGCATCAACTGAATGTTCCAGTACTGACATTCTCATTTAATTGTGGTGTTGTGGTTGTCTTACCATAGAGGTGGTTGTGGTTATGGCTCAGAGAGTGAAGGTGAAGAACCTGCTGACTCCAGGGTGACTTTACCACAGAATGTGCCAGGAAGGGGAAATGTTAAGGCACAACAAAGTGCAATACGACTTACTGAGGTACAACTATTTGGAAAATTGAAATGGTTTTTGTTGTCTGTATTGCTCAATTGTGCTAATTTGCAGTATGTTTCATGTGGTCACAAAGTGATTTGCCTTGTTTCTTCCTTTTAGTTAGGGCCCCGAATGAGCCTTCAGCTTGTGAAAATTGAAGAAGGCTTGTGCTCAGGAGAGGTTCTTTTTCATGAATTTGGTGAGGGCTTGTCTAAAAATGCTTTGCTAGGAGATATTATGCACCATCAAATATGAGCCATTCTGTTCAATATAGTAGTCTAAGTACTTTAATTCAGCATCTGCTATTGATAAAGAGGTTTAAAAGATATTTTCTGTATTTGTAAGGACTCAAGGAATTTCAAGTAACTATACAGCACTGTAGTTCTAATACAGTAATTTCAGTCAAAAACAGGGTAATGATAATAATAATGTTTTGACTTGTATTTTCTTAAGTTAAAAAGACACCAGAGGAAATAAGAGAGATGAAAAGGCATAGAGAAGAAGTGAGGTATTCAAGTGATGAGCATGTGATCATTAGTGAATTTTTAGAGGGATGATGTCCATGTGATCATCATGTGATGTCCATGTGATCATCATGTGATGTCCATGTGATCATCATGTGATGTCCATGTGATCATTAGTGAATTTTTAGAGGGATTATATGCTTTACTTTGTCATTGTTATGATCTGAGACAAACTAAGAGATTGAAAATTAAACAGGTGTGAAATGCATGTGAGTTAAACCTCATTTGAAAAAATAGGCCATTTTCAGTATATTAAAATTCAAACTTGGCTCCAAGGCTTTGGGGAATAATCACATCTAAAATGGCTTAGCTATTGGAGCCATTAAAAGCGATTATTTTAAATGAAGTTTGCTTTCTAGATATGAATAATTGTATTAAGCCTATTTGGTCAAAGCTGTTTATTTTTCATTTAGTCAGAATGTCTGTATATATTTTCTTTTTATTCCTAGAAGCCAATTGCATTGTTTGTTTCAACAATGAATAAGAGGAACTGAGTCTCATTTAATTTTTGTATTAAGTTCAGATAATCATTTTTTAACTGATTGAAAGCTCTTGTTTATCAGGAAATTAAAGGAGCAAAGGAAGAAACAGCAACAAGAGAATATCAAGAGGAAAGAAAAAGAGAAAGCTTTAAACAAGTATGCCATTATTAAAATGTTAAAATTCTCTCTGTCAGTGATAATCCAAGCCATTCATATGCAGCATTTACTGCCTCCCGCCCTCTGAATCCAGAATAATAATAAATAAATAATAAATGATGGACTTATATAGTCCCATATCCGACTGCTCTATGGCGCTTTACAATGCTGAGTTAAAAAGATAATGACTACAATTGATTAAAGACAAAATAATTAAGACAAACAATCACATAAAATCGCAAAATATTTGAAAAGAAAGCTTTTTAAAAAGGTAAGTCTTCAGACATTTCTTAAAAGCAGCCAAAGAAAAACCAGGCTGTCTGATATGAATGGGCCGAGCATTCTACAACTGTGGGGCAGCCACAGCCAAAGCTCTGTCACCATAAGACTTTTGAATAGACCTTGGGACAACCAGAAGAGACTGTTTGGATGACCTGAGACTATGACTGGGGATAGACAATGTTAGCAAATCACTAAGATAAGAAGGGGCTAAATTATTTAGAGAATTAAAAACCAACAAGATCTTGAAAAGAATGCAATGCTCTACTGGTAACCAATGGAGCTCCGAAAGTAATGGTGAAGTATGACCAAATTTAGGACAATGCTTAACAAGATGAGCAGCACAGTTCTGTACAGACTGTAGCCTCTGAGTCTGGTATTTTGGCAGCCCGTATAAAAGGGCATTCTCATTGTCTAACCTGCAAGTTATAAAAGCATGTATAAGCGCTATTGTAGACTCCTCTGACGGATAGCTCCTAATTTTGGCTATCCTCCTTAGATGATAAAAAGCCGATTTACATATAGCACCAATATGCTTCTCAAAAGTTAGATGTGTTGGTTATTTTACAGAGTGCGAAGTATAGAGGGGCAGAAAAAGAAACAAAAGCTTGAGGAAGGTGATGATAACAGCGGTGAGTGTCTTTTAATATACAGACCTGTATCAAATGCAGTGACAAGCATCAGTAGGCCTTGCCAATATAGGAATCCACTTACCGGGGATACCTCACTGCACAGGGAGCTTTGAATTGTGTGAACAAGTATTTCTTTGTTTCATGTGCAGCATTTTGTCTCTAAGGACTCTGGGGTCACCTTTCATTAACTTCAAGAGATTAACTTCAAGAGATTTTCTTTTATGACCACCACAATTTTAATTTTAAAGCAAAGCACTCATAGAATCATGCTAAATACAACCTTACTGTGATGTGCATGACTTTGTATGGTAAACTAGGGGCCCCTTCTCCACAATAATGGAAATGGCAGCTTCGTAGGTGGAGAAAATTTAAAATGGATTTTCATTTCCCATGGATGGAAGATGTCAAATGGTGCAATGTACTTACAGACTAAATATTACTAGAAACAAACAGCATTTTCTTTTGGTAGATGATGTTGCTATGGAAACAGGCGACATCAAGGACAATGACGATGCTGATTGGTACAGACAGGAGGTTGGCGAAGAACCTGATCCTGGTAAATTCTTTGTTTGTCACATTTTACCCCCTTCTCCGGATAATCTCCTTCCATTTAATTCTAAAAGTTTATCTTAACTCTTCTTCCATTTTAGAGCTTTTTCCAAAAGTCCACAAAAAGAGTAGGCAAGAAGATGTTGCAACAATTCCTGGTAAAAAGAGGAAGCACTCTGAAATAGTTGATACCTCAAAAACCATCAAGATATCCTCAAAACAAACAGAACATCGAAAATACAAGCAAGACAGAAAAGTCAAGAAATCTGTGAAAGTAACACCAGTTAAAAAAGGTGTCAAGAAAGGAAATAATGTTAAAGTGAAAAGGAAGTCAAAAAAGTGAAGCAAATTATAACGTCTGACACCTGAACATTGTTTCACACCCAAGAAAGGTGTTTTGTCTGCTATCAATCAAGAGGGTAGACTCCTAGTTGTCACTTTTCAAATAACTATTGTAGTGGGCTTTCTGACTTGGTTTGTATTTAATAATGAGATCAATTTAATTTGCAGTTGTTTAACTCAGAAATGACACCGGCCTTGAATTCAGATGGATGGAAAAAACTATTGCAAGCTTTCAATTACAATTTATTTTGCTCTGAAATGGTACTAACCAAAATGTTCAGTGTCCCATTAAGATGGTAGATGCCAAATTGTACTAACCAAAGTTATTCTTTACTCTTCCAATGTAAGATTTCAAACTCCAAAACTTGTCAGCATTCCAGTAAAACAACCCAACCCTCTTATGAGTCCTCCCTCACTCCCCATTATTCTCCTTTTCCAATCCTCTCTCTCCTTCCTTATATAGACTTCAAAATGATAGGATATTGTATACTTTGGGGTTGACATCACAGATAAGATCATAAATATGGTAAATATGGTATTAAAATGATATACATCCTCAGTTGGAGGATGTGTATACCTAAATTTTGGCTTTTGGGGAGGAAGAGGATGGCACAGTATTCAGTGGGCAGGCTAGATACAAAACGTCACATCACAAGTGATGTAAGGCGAGAGGAGGTAAGGTTGTTTACTGCCTACAGTGGGAATCAGCAAAAGAAAAGGTCTACTTGAAACTGCAGGTGTCAGTCTAACAATTGAAATGCAACAACTGCTGATTGTCTTGGGGAGCTTTCAGTTTTATTTAATAACAAGACAGGCCGCACATTTAGCATACACTGACACAACAGTTTGTATTACTACACAACACTCTACCTTAGTACATGAAGTTACTGTTAAGACTGCATGTCTCCCTCTGGACATGAATGCCAAGTTCCATCACAACAAAAGAATAACAAGACATTAATATACCAACAAAAATTCTTCTGACGACTTCCCAAAGATGACCAAATCAGAAAGCAATCAGGGCATTACTTTCCAGCCTTGTTCATTCAGTGAAAACCCTCCTTTCTCTGAGAAAAACGAAATTCAATAACTTTAAGGTTTCGACTAAAAGTCAAATTCCTTAAAAGAAGAACAGCACTAGTGAACAAAGGCAAGGCTTTAGACTCTTAGACACAGATGATTGCAGCTGTGCTCCTCTTCAAAGGTTATACACCCTTGATGTTAAAAAAGAAAAAAACTACAACTCAAATTTGAATATGACCAACATGGCCTCTTGTATGTATATATATGCAAGTACAAATTCAATTTTTTTAATAAGGCGAGAACAAAACTTTCTTGTGTTCACATGAAAAACAGCATCTGATAAACATTACAAGAACTGAACCCTAACTAGAAGGCAATCTCGTCCACCGTGACCTAACACACTATATAGCAACAAAGACTTTTTCACAGTTACACTTTGGTCATATACAATCTGTCTATAGTTAGCACCAGATAAACCTTGGGGCTACAACTAACAACAAGCAACAGCTTTATGTATTATTTGCAATAAATCATTTTGAAGGTGGAAGAGGGTGAGCCACCTTCATGATTACACCCTATTAGTCAGCTTCATTGCCTGAAAAACAAAAATATAGCAAAGTTAACATTTATAATAAATTTTTTGCTAATCCAGAAAAGTTCCAGACTCTAGTAAGATGGTTTTGCTTGCCATAGCCTATAAAAATACTGTTGTAATGTCCTTAGAATTTCAGATGCTTGTCTGTAATTTTTCAAATGATTGTACCAAGGTTGTTGTCAGTTATAGACAATCGAAAGAGCAAGTTCAGTCACTTAAGAGTAACAGTGTTCAATTTAGATCACCTTATGATTCACTAGCAAGTAATTTCATACCTTGCTGATATCAATACCAGTTAGTGCCTCCACAGATTTTGGCAGATTGGCAACAATATCTAGGATTTCACCAGTGATTTTACTGGCACCAAGTTCACACTTTCCATTAGATACCATGACAATCTTCTTACACTGAGCGAGAGGTGCTGCCACTTCAGCTGCAATCTAAGAAACCCCAATCACAAGATGAACTTCATCCAAAAAGACACTTCCTTTGCAGCAGTTAAGAGAATACAAGCAGGTAAGAGAGGATTATGAAATCTGATTGTTCAACTGACCTCTTAAGAACTTAGGCAGATGCTATCAGAAGAGTCAAGTGCATTGACTCTATGAATGACTTCCACTGAGGTTGTTGAAATTGTCAATCAGTACTTCAAAAATAGTCACTCTCAACTGGATGATCAGACAACACAGTCAACTGGTTCTCCCTATAGTTCAAACCACTACATGGTTCGTACAACTTCAGACAAACAAAATTCAAGGACTTTTTAAGGACTTTTCAAGGACAAAAAATCGTTTTCAAGGACTAAGTTTTATTCATAAATCTAAACCATTTACGATTGAATACACATTTGCCCATCGCTCAATAAAATTGAAAATGAAGGGAAATGAAAAATCCATCGACCAAAACATAGCCAAAGTAGTACATGTTTTACGTTGCCCCTTAAAACAAAAGCACATAGCGGACTACCCCACATCGGAGGCCTTGCACATGAAATCGAGGCACACATCCAACTTTGCTTTATGTACTACTCACGTTTTATACCGACCATTTTCCCTTTTTGGTAGTTACTAGTGGGCAAATTTTCCATAGCAAAATCGTTTCATTTTTCAGAAAAGCGATAAGGCGCAAAGAAGTTGCAATATTTCAAGGACTTTTCATGACCTACCAAAGAAATCAAGTAGTTTTCAAGGACTTAACCAAATTCAAGGACTTTTCAAGACGACTCTTAAAATTCAAGACCTTTTCAAGATTGTACGAACCATGCATTATCTGGCATAGCAAGAAGCAGAACTTTGGTGTTACAATTTACATACCTTTGGCATGGTTGCCAGAACCATATCAACAACAGCAGCTTCTCTGTACTCTTTCCAAGCATCTGCTTTCTTGGCCATCTGTTCAGCTTCTGCTTTAGCTTTTGCTTCAATGGCAAAAGCTTCAGCTTCACCTTTCACCTGTTACAATACATAAAAATTGTCATGTTAGCCCAGATCTAACACTCCAACAATACCTACGAAAAGAAGTGGACTCCAATATCTACACTGAGCTGATATAACTTATTCTCACCCTTATTGCTTCTGCACTGGCCTCAGCTTCCAGTATCACACGATTTCTAAAACAAAAGAAAACAAAACATCCATACAGCTTACAAAAAAAAATGGTAGGTTAAGTTTTGGTTTAACTACACCATGCACCCTCATGGATTCAGTAGAAATCAAATAAAACCGATTTCCCACTAAACAAATAAATCAGATTATCAGCTGAAGTGTCATGATAAGGTATCCTTTTACCGGTTGGCCTCAGCAAGCTTCTCCATTTTATACTTGTCTGCTTCAGCTGGCCGTTTGATGGTAGCTTCAAGTTCACGGTCCTTCCGTGCAATTTCCTACCAGACCAAAATGTACAACATTTATACAAAAAAAACTAATTACAACTTCCATAAAACAAGAAGGTTATCATAACATCACCTACAGGACAACTTCACAGGAAACAAAAATTTACATTTATGAAAACTTGCAATCTCTTAGCTGAAAATTTTATATTCTTGAAGGAATTTGCATATTGTTACCTGCTCTTGAACATTGATCTGCTGTGCTCTCTCCACAACTCTGATCTGCATTTCTTCTTCCTTGATTTTCTGTTTTGTTATGGAAGCCTGGAGGTCATATGCCAACTCAGACTCTGCTTTCTACAATGGGACAAAGAGAAATATTACCAACTGCATGAATTCTCATTCAGTAGAATGATGGTGTATCTGTAACAGACATCATCCATTAATTTACAACTGAATAACATTGAATATTAACCCATTGACGTCCAGTGCGCCCGTATGCGCCCATGGGGACCCACACCCTTTCTACGCCCTGTGACGTCATCACTTTTAGCCCTGGAGCACGAATTCG